CACTTAGCCCCCTATTGTCCTATTGTGTCCTTAGGGGCTAAGTGTTCAATGCGTTTCGACGCCGGTTCCATGCTGACCCGTCGCAATGCCCGCGCGAGGGCCTCAGCAAGGCTATCTTCCCTCGGCGATTTGGGCTGGTGTTTGTGTCGTGGGTTGGACTCCGTTCCAGCCGACCGTTCAAGCCGGGTGTCGCTGCCTTCCGAGGGCTTGTCCCCGCTCTGTGTTGCTGGACCCTCTGCTGCTGATTCTTCGTAACTCCGTATACTTCGTCGCAATCCCTTGTCCATTTCCGCGTATATGTGTTCATTTATCGTCCTGCGTTGCTCTTTGGTGAAATCCATTTTACCGTCTACCGTCATCTGTTTGTGTCTGTCTAGCCGAACCCTTAGTTATTACTGAGTAGGAGCTAGCCTTACCTCGGTACCCCGTATGACATCACGCTAGCGTGTTTAGAATATTCGAATTGGGGGTATGTAGCGTATCGTGTAGACGTGTGGTGAATAGTGTCGGCAACTCGGCGGGTTCGCGCGAAGGAGAGATTTGGTGGTGTGATTAGCTCATCTCATCTCCCACACACTCCCCAGTGCGGGGGGGTACCCAGCACAAAATTACACGGTATTCCGCTCTATCCCTGTCCATGAGAACATAACCGTACCATCCACTTGGCTCTTTGATAGTGGTGCATCCACTGTTACGTTTGGTCTTATAGCTCACCGCTTGCCTCCCCGCCAACCCCCTACTCCTCTCTCTACGCTGCTCTCGTCCTAGTCTCTCATTCTGGCCTATCGCTACTTCTTCCTGCAGCTACAACTTCTTCCTTCGCAATGGTGCTGCCATCATTTGTTTGCGGTTATTTTTCCTACTGCTGTGTAGGGAATGATGAATAAATATGTTTCGCGATAGAAGGACCACCGAAACCTTTTGGTGCATACGGCGGTGCCCCCCCGTCCATCTCGTCGTTGCGCTACACACACACACACGCAGTGCCTACCGTATCTGTCGTTGATCCGGATAGCAACCTAGCTTCGTCCATTACGCCCGGGGTCCCACCCGGATCACGGAAGCGTTTAAAGCCTCACTGAGACTGACGTCTTTTCATGGTCAGCCTGTTATCGCGGCCGATGCTAGAAACGTGAACACACACGGGCAAACACACACTTGTGGAAGAACTTTCTGTTTGCAGTCACACTGACACTGACGCCTCTTCGTTGGCCAGCCAGTTAACGCGCGGTCGATGCTTAGAATATAAACATACATCAGCCGCACTGAGACTGACGTCTTTTCATTGGTCAGCCGGTTAGCGCGGTCGATGCCCATTATTTGAACGCGCGCGGACGCACACACAAAGAAGTGTTTCGTGTTGTCAACTGCACGGAGGCTGACGTCTTTTCATTGGTCAGCCGGTTAGCGCGGTCGATGCTGCAAACATGAACGCAAACACACGCAGCATTTTCAACAGCACTGAGAATGGCGTATTTTTCTTGGTCAGCCGGTTTGCACGGTTGATGGCTAACAATAAATTTGTTCGAATTTTCAACTTCACGAAGACTGATGTCGGCTCATTGGCCAGACGGTTATCTCGGTCGAATCTATAACTCTACAGACACGCATGGAAAACAACACGCAGGTAGAAGCGTTCGACTTCAAGGGCTGCCCCGACGAAGACATGTCGCCCTGCGACGTCCCCGCTAGCGCCAAGTCGGGTTTCCCGAAGATAATGTGGCGGGACCTATACGCGGAGGAGGGGCGGCGGAGGAGGTCGTGAGACGGAGGCGCATTCTCGGGAGCAGTCACAGCAGGTGTACTGCTACTGTTTCTCTGATGGTGCGGAGGGAGAAGCGCGGACAAGGGGAGGAAAGACTGGTACGATAGGTCGAAGGAGGTGGGGCTTTCGAGTTGCAGGAGCAGCAGGGGCATGAGGCAGCAGCAGGAAGAGAAACATGGTAAGTCCACCCGCTCAGGCCTTGCTGGCTAAGGCGGGATTGGGCGCGGGAGGAGTGTCGATACAAACACACGGCTCAATCTCGGGGGGGGGAGGGGCGGTGTTCCTCCCGAAGAAGGGGGCGCCTTGTGAGTGGTGAGGGTCACTTCGCACAGCTTGCACGTGCGGGACTTGTGCTTGTGCAGGCGTTTCGGTGGCACCACAAGCGCCTGTTCGACGTGGTTCGGTCGTGTTTCTTCAGCCAAGATTCGATGAGAGTGTTCGGGGGAGAGGGGCACGCTTTTTTGGTGGTTTGGCACACATACAAGTGGAGAGGGGCGTGTGTGTGTGTGTGTGTGTGTGTGTGTGTGTGTGTGTGTTTTCTCGTCATGACCCAGTCGCGCACGGAGCTTAGAGATTACCGCGGGCTCCCGCGACTGCGGTACATGCCCGCCGACACGCAGCTCCTTGAGAGCCTCGTATGACCACAGGCTCCTCTGTGTTTCAAGTACCTGCCCCCGCACACCGGCACTGATGTATGTAGCACACACCTCGTCGGTTGCATGCCCTGCTGCCTCTAGCGGGGGAGTGGGTGCCACCTGTATTGCTTGTCGGGGCTATCCTTCGATGTGTTTGTGGGCTTCTGCAGGGGGAGCTTGTGATGCTATCATTGGCCTCGCAGCGTGACGAGAAACGTGGGTTTCGTTTTCTGATGCCGGTGCCCCGCCCCCGGATCCTCGCTGTCAAGCAGCAGTTTTGAGTGGATGACAGTGGCGTAAGAGCTTTCGGGGAGGGCGCTTGAAGCTACCGCTGTATTTGTTTTTTGTTCGAATCCTTTGTTGAAGTGCCTTGCTTGCATATGGTGCTGTAGTTTCGATCTGTTCATATATGTGGCGCACTTGTGTGTGTGTGTGTCTTTCTGCCCTCCGCAGTCTGGTCTTATGGTATTTATTTTGGGCGTGTCTGCTTCAGCAGACAAGCAGACTGGCCCCTTCTCTCTTCTCTATTTCCTGTTCCGTGTCGAGAGCCGGCCATTGCCTCAGAGGACTAGGGGAGCCCCTGATTTGCCTTTGTTGTATTATGTTGAGAGAGAGAAAGGGACGGAGAGAGAGATACAAGAGAAGAAGGCAGAGAGATAAGAGAGAGAGACCGAGAGAGAGAGAGAGACAGACAGACAAGGAGAGCGGATGCATGTGCTGCTATTTCGGGTGTTTGTAGTGTTGCCTGTAGAGTTGCTTGCTTGTATCTTGCTGGGGTGAGTTTTGTCCAGGACCCTCCTGTCCTCGCTTCGCAACATGTTCCTCAGGTCTCGAAAAGCTAGCTCTCAACCCGCAAGGTTTGTTGTTTGTCCGAACAACCGGCAGTTCGCGGTCTGGTTGCCGAAAAAACGTCCAATGAGGACGGTTTCGCCCGAAGCGGTAGTTGCAGAGACTCCTGCCGCGCTTACGCAACGGCGACAGGGCCGGGCCGGAATGTCGGGGCAGGGTTTTATTACGATTTTTTGTTATGGTGTTGATTGATCTCTATTTTTGGTGTGTAGAGAGAAGCTATCTCATTGCGAGTACTTCAGGTAGAGTCCTTGGATCTATTGCTGCGTACCCAGTATCTTCTCTTGACATGTTGTAGGTTAACCCGTATGTATCAGAGGAAATAGGGCTGACAACAAGGAAGGGCGCTTTTCGTTTCGAAGCAGGCGGGCCGGCGGGGGAAGGGGGGGGTCGTTACTTCTTGTTGCCGTCACCCCCCCCCCCCAAGGGGTGCGGTGGCTGGGGTAAGAGGATTTTGTCATCCACCGTCCCCCCTTGCACTTTGCCCCATTAAATGTTGAATTATTTTGTCGCCAGCGTCGTGTGCGGTTCGTTGTTGTCATCAGTGTTGTATTTTATGCTTTCATGGTGCTCGTCCTGTGCCATGTTTCGTTGTTTGGTCTTGCTCAGGGTTTATTTTTTGTTTCCCGGCAACCACGCCTTGCCACTTAGTTGGTGTGGATCTGTCAGCCAGCCAGCGTGGGAAGTTGTCGAAAAAAAACAAAACTCTGCGTCGCCTGTTTCGCCGGAATGCTTGAGATGCCGCGAGATGTGCAGAGCGGCGCAGCTAGAGGCCGTCGCGTCGATGTAGGACGCACGGTTAACGGTAACAACGGACATGCAAGGGGCAGTCGGATGCACCTTCCGTTTAGTATACAACGGGAAGATGCTGGATTGCTGAGTTTAAGCGCTTGAGGGCAAGTCGGATGCACCTTGCGTGTAGTATATAGAGGGGAACGATGCTGGATTGCTGGGTCTGAGCTCTGGAATCGGAGTTTTGCGTGCATTCATATTTTGCTCCCAGGGTGATGGCACGACTAGGAGACACCTGATTTTCTTCTGTTGACACTTACTTGCATATACATCTCCGTTCTTGTGGTTGTCCTAATTTTGTTTTTTTGCTGCGTGTGTATGTCAGCCAAAAAAGTAGGGTAGTTTTTTTTGCATAAAGTCTGGCTGAGATTAGGAAAAGTTTTGCATATGAAACTGTCTTTTTAAGAAATACTGTTGCCTGTCGGTTCGAAAGTTTCGACATATCGTCCGAAATATCGGTTCGGATATCGGGTCGAAAATGAGTCGATATTTCGAACAATATCGAAGCTATATCGATATCGGTTCGAACGTCGATATTTCGATAAGATATCGATATTGCCATGTTCAGACGCGGTTGCTGCAGGCCACACACCACATGAACACCCGGACAGACAAGTAGGTCTGTCGCTGTTGAGCTCCAGGATAAAGTGGATCCCTGAGGCAGGAAGGGCAAACGGTCAACAACCTAGTCTACAAGCTAGGTTTCCTTTTTTGAACTTCGAAGCGAACAAGGGGCAGTGCCCAGTGCCCAATCTTTGGAACGTTTTTCCGTTTTGAACGGGGGGCTCTACGTTGTTCTGCTGGTGTCTTGATGGGGCTTTCTCTGGGTTGTTGCTCCGTACCCTGTTGAGTTGGCTATTGAATGCGTTTATTTGCCTTTGAAGAGTACCGCAGAGGAGGCAATGAATTTGTGTGTGAAGAGCGAAGAAAGAAGCAAAATCGCGCAATATACAATGTCCCATATGTCGAAATGAACTGCCTGTACCTCAACATACGAGCTGGAACGAGCACATGAGCACAAGTGGTGGGTGTCCTGTGAAAACAAGCCGGCGTTTGATGCCGCCTGCCGTCTATGTGATGGTTTTGACGCCTATAATCAAAGCCATGTCGATATCGTATCGAAACATCGATGTTCGAACCGATATCGATAACGATATCGGTTCGAATATCGAACGCCCCGTCGCCATATCGTCTGAAACGGATCTTCGCTTCGCTATGCAACACTACTGGCAATGCTCGGCTGCGGTCTCACACATGCACTGAGCCTGATTTCCGGCATCTCACGGGAAGGGTCGGAAGTAAACACGTTCTTCTCCTTGCGATATTTTTTTCATTTGCAATTCTTGTGACCACGCAAGGCGTCCGCGTCAGTTGTACTGTTATAGTATAGTATAGTATAGTATAGTAGAGTATAGTAGAGTATAGTATAGTACGGACATTAGAAGGTATTGAGCGGAGACCGGAACGGTTTCTTAATGTGAAGACAACAAGAACAACAATTCCGAGTCCGTTTTGGCGCATCATATACATACGTACGTATGTATATAGGATATGGGCGCCGATAGATTCAATCGTGGATACGACTCATTCCAACATTTCATTCACTTTCGCGATTCAAGCTGCCTCCGTCACACGCATACACACCTCTACCACCACGGGGTCCCAGATCATGGCCTTTGGAAGCGTGTGCCGCGTTCAGCCGCACTGAGGCTGATGTCTGTTCAAACTCCCGGCTAGCGCCTTGTCCATATTTTCGGCTTCGGTGGATTGCATTGGGTTGACTCTTTTTTCTGCACCACATCGAGACCTATCTACAGTAGGCTACCCCGTAGCAACTCCCATGACACGCGACACAAATATGCGTGCGCTTGCCAACTCCTTCTTTCCCCAACCCACTCTCTGTCTGGTAACAAATATTGCTTGAGATCGAGCTCGGCCGCCCGAGAAATGCTAGCATATGTTGCCCCCACCAGCTGTCGGGAAGGACGATCTGATCCAGCGGAGGCTACCCCACAGTACGAATGGTTCGGAAGCAAGTCGAGCCGAGGGCTTTCTCGACGGTTGTTGCTGCTTTGGGGCAGTGCTACCCTTCATCGCATTGCGGGGCAAAACTCGATCGTCTCTCGTCTGCAGACAATCTCACAACCCAAGTTTGGGCATGATGCCCAATGGAAGAGCAGACTGGCCACATCCTTGTTGGGAGTTGTTTTTTTCAGTTCGCCGGGTGCCGGTCTCACGACCTACTTAGGTTTGGGCATGGTGCGCAACGGGAGTGGCTGGCCACAGCAGCCTTGTTGGTGTATTGTTTCTTGTTTTTTTTTCCCTTCAGTTGACCGGGTGGGGTTTCGGTAGTTTTCGAAACCAGAAAAAAAAACAAGATCGGTCTTCGCTGCCGGGGCTCGTTCAATAAAACATCGGGGGCACCAGACGGCGAGAAAAGCGCACAGATAAACAGATAGTAGCACCGAACCTTGATATTTTTTCCTACCGACCAAAAACAGTGGTAGGGTTGTGTTGGCCCTGCCTCCGGTGGAGCTCAAAATGCCTCTTTTTCGTCTTTCGCCCGAACAACAAGAATAGCAACTTGAGATTCACTCCACAGGAAAGGAATTCACTCTGTCCTGACCGCACCCAGACACCATTCATTTTTGCAACACACGAAAAGCGTGTGTATGGACTGGAGCAAGACTAGATGTGATGCCTACACACCCCTCCTGCATGTGCAAGAGGAAACGAGATACATACACAAGACCATATCAGGATGACGCCTCTACAGGAACAAGCAAACCCAGGGCTTCCGCCCCCACGGACCCTGCTGCGCCAGACGTTGACGAGGTAGAATATTCGCCCAGAGCTTGCCCGCTTGCCTTGTCCTCCACCGACACGCCGCCCCCGTCATTGGTCGCTCCGAAACGACACCTCGCCCAAGAGTCCGTGATTACCTGATCGGGTCCGGTGCAGAACGTTTATTGAGACGGCGGAAACAGCTTGTCTGAGGGGAGCTTCGCCGTCGACGGATGTGATGGTGGTGGTGGTGGTGGTATCGCTGCTGCCTTTGCACGGCTTGACTGAGGGGGGCGCTGCCGTCAACGGCTGTGCAGTTAGTGGCGTTGCTGGTGTGCGAGTTCTCCTGCTAAAGGCGTTGCTGCAACTATTGGTGGGCGAGAGCTCCTGCAAATAGCGCTGCTATAACTATTGCTGTGCGAGTGCTCCTGCAAATAGCGCTGATAGCGCTGCTGCAACCATTGGTGCCAGTGCCTTGGCCAATAGCGCTGCTGCAACTATTGGTGTGCAAGAGCTCCTACAAATAGCGCTCCGCGATTAATGATCAGTGCCAGTGCTTCTGCTGCTGACATTGGACCACGTGGCGTCATCCCTCAAGAGCCTCACCTTGAGGTGGTCAAACGCCATGCTCGGAAGACGCTCAACCGGGAAGAAACGTGCCTCCGCCGCGTCGTCTCCGGCGCGAGCGCTACACGCGGCCTTCGACGGCGCCCAAGCCATGAACGCCACGGTGATGGTGTGACCCCGAGGATCTCGCCCGGGATCGCCTGGCACCGCCGCCACGAAGATGATGCCGTGCATCACGTTTTAGCGTGTGTGATATACTGCAATCGGTAACTGCGAAATGTATGTTCGTATACCCTAAGTTGGTGGAATGCCTGAAATCGTTTCGGGGTCTGTGATGCTTAAGATGTTTAGACGCGTTGATAGATTCAGAGGGTTGGGAGAAGGAGTGTCCCGCGTGCAGCCGAGCTGACGTGGGGGGGGATCCGTAAATCATCCCCTCGTCACCCTACCCACCCATGTATACTTATGTGCGGGAAACCTGAAACAATATATCGTCAACAGATCAAACTCGGGTTCACGAAAAGACGGCGTGGTCGTATCGAGAAAGACAACAGCGAGGCCGCAATCCCTCCTGTGTGCGTGTCCTGTATTTTTGCATCGACTGCGCTATAACCGACTGACCAATGACATGCGTTGGTCCTACAAAAGTTGTACCGGGAAAAACAGGAACATCGCGTGAGTGCATATGGTTAGAGGTGGTACGGCAGGAGTGTAAAGAAAATACAGTGGTGTAGGCAGACAAAGTGGGAGGAAGAAAGAGAGAGAGATAGAGATAGAGAGAGAGAGAGAGAGAGAGAGAGAGAGAGAGAGAGAGAGAGAGAGAGAGAGAGAGAGTTACTGAGGGACCAAAGAACGTCTCGAAGACACGTCGTCGTTGATTGTTGGCAACCAATCCTTGCCGTGTTGCCAAGGCCTTGAATTGGCAAAAAACGAAACCGGTGAGTGTGATACTTTTTTTGATCTGAGGCATGTACCAAAGACCAAACAATAATATCACTCACCCTGCTTCGATCGATGAAATCTGAACCTTCAGCTGCGCAACGACTTCGACACATAAACACATCGCCCCCAAAATACGTCGGCGCTGGACCCTTTGTTCACGCGATTGTGTTTACTCGGAAAAGATGAACGTTGCGAATGCTGTACACTGCAAACGGTAGGGGTGAATCCTGCCTTATATCTCGGGGGAGGAGGAGGAGGAGGAGGTTACTCTTAAGCCAGGCGAGCACGCCGATAATTCTTGGCGTAGAACAAACAGCAATCGGATTGGCGCCTGCCTACGTTGTCATTCTTATCCACGAGAAACCTTCCTCACGCTCCCGCCCGGCCTGCCCTAGGTGGACGTCCACTAACGGTGCAGCCGGCTACTACAGTAGTATCCAACGCACCGTATGCTCCTGTTTGCACCATCGTGCGATTAGTGACACCGGTTTCTTCTTCCAATTCCCTCCGGGCAGCCGCGTCGAGCCCCTCGTTCTGGTCCACGAAGCCGCCTGAGAGGGGAGACCGTCGATGTACGGACAGAGGAGGAGCGGTTGATGTACATGCAGGAGGGCAGGTGTTGCTGATTGCTGTTGTGGTTGTTGCAGCTGGCGTGACTGCTGCTGATGCTGGTGGTGGCGGTGTGACTGCTGTTGCTGCTGGCGAGTCGTTGATGTTGTGCCTCCTACAACCGCCCAAATCACCATTTGTCACAAGACACACTTTGCCACGGAGAGGAAGCGCAAATGTAGGCATCTCTTTCGCTTACCCGGGAGAGCCCAGCCCCCCTTGAAGGGGTCATTCTTTCGCTTGATGAGCAGGATCCACGGCTTCCCCTCGTCCAGAGCGTAGATCAGGCAGTCCACCGTTACCGCCGGACGCGGCCACTGGTAACGGAACGGGAGGTCGGGCGCGGTGTCACCGCCTCTTCCTGCCGCAGAAGCCGATAACGAAGCCATGGCAGGGAGGGTTGATGCCGTCGGTGTCAGGTGTCGGCCTAGCCTGCGGTGTAGTGTCGTCACGAGCGAGGCACGAGGGCAAAGGTTTGGTCGAGGTGCTCCGGGCGCCCTTGACTCGGATATTAGGGTAGACGAAAGCTGACTTGCCTTTGACCTCCTAGATACAAACTAGGTCAACCGAGCGGTAGCCGAGAATGGCAGCAACGGGTAGCGGATAATCGGCGGAACTAGACCATCCGACCAGTAAGCGCTGACTAGTCGGATGGTCTAGTTCCGCGATTAGCGGATGCTGAAGGTGTCATGATCCCCAAGACGGAGCAGCAATCGTGGGGGTAGTACACTGCTGACACATGTAGGCTAAATACCGCAATCCTGCACTTGTGGTGATCCAAGGTGGCCGGTTGATCAGCGCCAAAATGTTGTTATTTATGAGAGATTTGCCGTTGGCTACTTGCTGCTCCTCCAGCTCACAGCATGGCGCTACAATTGGGGCGGCTCGTCTATCCTTCTCTGCCGAACATTCCGTGTATGCACTGGACAAACGCCCTCCTGGGCCAGCCGGAACACATAAGAAGATAATAGGTGGAGCGTACATTTCAACATTCAACATGTTCATGTATTTTCAACGCGTGGTGGGTGGTTTCAGCTGGCCGTCATAAGAGAGAGGGGGAAAGAAGCGAAGAGATCAGGCAATATGTACGCAAAGTTAACAGTCCCGCCGAGCACACATTGCAGAGCGTCCGCCGAAGTAAGCAACAAGACAACTTCCCGCGGCAGACAACTTCATCGACAAGCTCATATCAAGTCCGTTCGTCGTCGTCTTGCTGGCCTTACCTTGCCTCGAAGGTGCCAGCAAGGTTCCTCGAAAGTGACCTGCTGAATCGGATGCTCGATGACGCCGCTCGAGATCTTACGCTGGGCAATGAGACGAAGCCCGCAGTGCGAGGTAGTAGTGCAGCAGCAGAGTGCTGCACCCAGGCGGCGGTGAAGAGGTTCACCAGCGGAGGAAAAGCGCGAGGCATGCACGACAGCGTGAGGTAGAGGGCGATACGGCCGGACGGGCAGGGTGTAGCGCAACAGCCGAGGGCGGAGTGCGTTAAATAACGCTCGTTCCTGGAGTTCAGCGGAGGCGTGATCCAGCGGGGATCGATCCAATGGCCATCACCTACAAAACCAGCCGCACAACTTGAGCCGCACACAACCGACTTGACCATGGAAGTTGACGGCATGGATGAGCAGCAAGCGCGACAAAGGCTGCTGGAAGGGGGATACTTTGTGGCTCTGGGGGTACCGCCCGGCGTGGAGTTCGGAATCGATCTCAAGAGCTACAAGGTTTGTGAGGTTGGAAGGTGGTTGACGGTCAGTCAGCAGCATCATTGTACCAGGTGTTGCTCGCAGCGGTGGATGACGTGCTTGCGATGCCTTGCCCGCTCTGAGCCTCTGCACTCGATGTGCGTGGGATGGTGTAGTGCTTGCGATGCCTTGAACGCTCTGAGCCTCTAGCGCGGACGAGCTAGCACTGCTGTGCACAGGTTACACCAGGTATTGCTTTGCTGTTGGCAGGCGCAATTTTTTTCATGCGGGACTGTCAGTTTTTTACACTGGCACTGGCACGCTGCCGCTTTGGTTTGCAACTGCCGCTGTGTGCCAGTGATCACAAACGTAGACTACTGTAGACAACTTCAGCCTAGTGCTTCCCTATTTTTCACGATTGTATCTGTGTCGTGTGTCTTGGTTGCCTTGGCAGCTTACAAAAGAGGAACCATGAACCAACGTCGAGTACAGCAGCAGCAGACGGGGAACGCAACACCCGTCTGGATTCCTGGGCCAGAGATGGCGTCGCTGCTCTTCCTGACAGACTCCACCAACATTCGTTGCCTGTCGGTTTGCTTGGGCCCAGATTTGCCGAACACACCCTGATCACCGTGCGCTTAGGGCAGTATTACATTGTAGGTCACCTCCTTTCCTCGTGAAACGTAGCCTGGGTCGGTGAAAAACCGGCATATCGCTCAGTCCCGGCGTTGTAGGGATGCGAGGTCATTAGGCCAACAACTAAGGCATGCTAAACATGGGTACACCCCCCGCGCCCCTCACCACAGCTACTCTGTAGGTGGGTTCTGCAGGCTCACTTTTCCACCAAGGGCCATGATGGAGGTCATGCCTGCCGCCAGTTGCACAACCCTGCTGGCGGAATGTCAAAGATTCTGCCTTGTGCCAGAAGCGAAAACATTGTTGTTATAAGCATAGTTACCACGATTCCCCCCTGTTAACGTGTGCCCATGCCGCAAGACATTATGCCGCGTGTTTTCTAGTCGCTGTAGTGGGTGTTGTTCACGCCGGACGAAACACGTCTCTGTTCTCGTTACTACGCTTTCCTCCTGCTAACGTGTATCCATGCAACAAGAAACACTGCCGCTTGTTCCTTTAGTCACGGCTGTGCTGGGTGTTGTTCGTTATTCCTTGGCGTTATTGAGCGACTCTTGTCAACCTTTGACCGCCGGACTTTGGTCCATCACCCCACAGACCGGGCCGCAATTCAAGGGGGTGAAGATGATCCCGCCTGGGCTGCACTTCACACACTTCGGCACCGGAGAGGGCGAGAAGCAGGTACAGTAGTCCTTACGCGCCGTGTGCGTCTCTGTCCACACTTCTCACCTGATGCATGGGGTCGTGCTCGGCACCTCCCTCGAAGGATTGGTCTCTGTTTTGCGTGTAAGCCTGTGTTTGTACTTCCTAATGGTACCACCCAAGGAAAGACCGTCCTGTCAAGGAGGTATGTTGGGCTTCTACTGCTGTGTCTTCGGCTCTCCTGAGAAAAGGGCGGTTGTGCTGGTGTATTCCATTTTTTTTGTGGGAAATCAGAGCAGTGTCGTTGGCCTGTCAACGCTTCAACTTGTGTCCATCGAAGACGGGCTGTGACGAACCGTGCTTTTTATAATGGGGTGCCGAGTAGTTCGCTCGGATGGACGCAACAGCAGCACTGCCAACAACCACAACACTCTTCCCTCGACACCATCAAGTAAACGAACATTCAACGTCACCCACACGTGGCACGCAACGTCGATCTGCATTCATCAGGGAATTTTCTTTCGAAGCTCGGCTGGATCGGTTGCGGCGACACAGTGGGACACAAGCGCGGAGGATCTGGTTGATGCTCAGACGTGCCTACCCGATGGGGCTGTTCGAGCTCTGCGGGAGTCGGTGCTGCGGCTGGAAATGGACAAAAGTCTGGGGTGAGGTTCGGTTTGAGCCAGCCACACGCTGTTTTCGGGACTTGACGTCTCACGGGAATGAAAGAGGCACACGACATGTAGATCGACAGATTGAGATAGATAGATAGATAGATAGATAGATAGATAGATAGAGAGAGAGAGAGAGAGAGAGAGAGAGAGAGAGAGAGAGAGAGAGAGAGAGAGAGAGAGAGAGAGAGAGAGAGAGAGAGAGAGAGAGAGAGAGAGAGAGAGAGAGAGAGAGAGAGAGACAGAGAGAGAGAGAGAGAGAGAGAGAGAGAGACAGAGAGTGGACGCGAGCACGAAGGTAGGCCAACATAGAAATTAACCCTCCATTCGACATGAGCTTTCCCGCTGGTCCGTCAGACACCACTAATAGCCCGCCACGCCAACAGACGAAAATGTTCGAAACACGATGTTCTGCAGACGCAAGGCCCTTCCTGCGGGGGGCGGGGGGTGTCTAGAAGCGACAACCGAACATGGTACACCGACACCCGACCAAACGCTTGTACGTCCGATCGCCCAATGTCGACTCTGGTGTCCCATCAGACTAACCGGCGGTGCATGTCTGTTCCTGGCACACCTTGCAGGCCTCACCCTTTCGAGCAGCAAGCGGCATGGTTGAACCTGACCAACTGCGTCACGGATTCCGTGCTCGAGAGGTATGTATGCTTGTGCTGTAGTTGTAAATGTGGCAGTCGCTTTTTCTTGCACTCAAGGATAGCAAGCACCAAGGAGATGCTTTTTGTTTGGAGGTCCGTGAGAATACTATAGTGCAAGCCTAGCCCTTCTTGAAGTGCCGTCTCTCCCTTGTATCAGCCGTTCGCCACGACATTTTTGTACAGATCCTCCATATGCAAAACCGCGAGGTTTCCGACCCCGACGTAACCGATCTGGCACAGTTTCTCAGGGCGGCTCAATCCATTCTTCAACCCCAATCCTATTTCACACTCCTGTCACTAAACTTAGGCACTAGACTACTCAATACATGTAGTGTGTTAGAGTGGAGGTCTGAGTTCAACGCTCACGACCCTTGCAAGCTGTTGGAGATTTTGTTTTTGGCAATGGTAGAAGAAGCTCACCTATCAGATATCCTCACCTCACCAATTGCCCGCCCAAACGTAGGTGTGGCGTTCCCGTCGGCGCGAAAGCACCCCCCCCGTCCGCGCGAAAATTCCCGGAAATTTCTTCCTGTTTACATTTTCCCTCTCACGCCTGTTGAATCGTTTATCAGGTGCGGCGTACCCGTCGGCGCCAAGGTCCTGGCGGGTTCCTCCGCGGCGGAGCCCGGCGAACCGGGAGGCGAAGGCGTTCCGCCCGGGGGCGGTGTAGAAGAGAGCAAAGGGGACGGTGGTAGTGGTGGTCGCCAGCGGGGAAGCAGGCGGGGGATGGGAGCGGCGGCGTCGGCGGCGGGGATGGCCGGGCGGCAGATCGTGCCGCACTTCCCGCACGTTGGGAGGGTGGCCCGGTACTGCGAGGTTCCGGTGAGAGGGCTGCGCTTTTGTGGTGATGCACGCGCAAAGCATCTCGGCCGTTGGAGTACGGTAGTCGAATGAGTTTTGTTGCTTGTTTGTTGTCGTTCTCGTACACCCGGAAGCCATTCTGTATGACGCGGCTTCCGCTGTGAAACGGAAAGAGCAGGGGGTCGTTGGCCGTTGTGTCACTCTCAGGACGAAATTCCGCTTCGTTGGCCCCCTTGTGTGTGGTCTTGCCGTGTTTGTCGTCTTGCTGTCCACATGATCTAGTTGTATTTTTACTTTTTCCCCACAGTACGCACGAGGCGGTGTCTTCAAGGCCACATAAGCAGCTATTTCTTGCGCCCAAGACCCCCTGTCGTTATTGTCCGCCATTGTCCGCCCCCCCCCGCTAAATTGCCCCCTGCGCCACCTCTTCGCGGTCCCCCGCCTTCGTTTCACTTGTAATCAATTTTCCACTCGTCGGCGGGATGAATCTCGTAAAAACAGAACCGAGCGCAGGGCCCTGAAAAAAATGCCAACCCGGAGGATGTGACGAAGCGCAACATGGATGGGAGCGAGGCTCTGCGGATGTGGATCGCCACTGACTTCGGCGGTAGCTGGGTGAGATGGAATAGCGGTTTTTCCGCGCCAAGCGGAGCCATTTGTTGTTGCCGTACGCGCCCAGCAAACGGCTTCCTCGTTGAAATCTACGTGGGCAAGATGCAGTCATTTTTTTTTGGCGTTGGGGAAAATCCGCATCCTGATCGAATGGTGGACCCCCCTCGCCCTTGTAGATTTCACTTGGAAGGAGGGGAGTAGTGTGCATGAGCTTGTTTTGTGTACTCTCAAGACACGACTTCCTGGATGAAGTGATTCCGTAAACAAGCCACCCTACGACATTAGGTTGTGTTACTGGCGTGTTGCGTGCCGATTGTTACATTCTTCGATGAAGTTGCACATGTACGAATGCATTTTGTGTCACCCGCGCTTGTAGAATGTTACCCCGACATGCTCAATGGCACCCCCCCCTCCTGGATTTTTTTTTGCGATTTTGCGGTGCCGCTGTTGGCGGGTTAGGTGGAGCTGCTGGGGGAGCTGCAGCTGTCTTTCGTGTTGTTCGTGTCGCTGTCGTCTCTCGGAGGGTTTCGACACTGGCAGGCGTTGTCCGCCCTGCTTTGCCGGTGCGGGGACGCGCTCAAGACAGACCCCGCCCTCTTCACGGCCTTTATCCGGGTAAGGTTTACCTACGTCGTCGTCGTCGTCTTCGTTGTTGTTCTTGTTGTACAAGCGAAGACAAACGTATCACCAGCAGCGGTATTACAGCGGCGAGCGAGACGTCGTCCGTCACCACCATCACCATCAGAAACAAGCATAGCGACGAAGCACGCTTCTACACATGCCTATGCATACCTCATGTCGTTGTGCTTTTCGACTTCACTCATTTCGCGTCCTGGGTTCGCTCTCGGCTGTGGCGTTTTTCCTCCCTCTCCAGATGCTTCACGCGCACCTTAAGCTAGTTCCGGAGGACTTCTTCGACGTGGAGCTGTCCAAGGACAACTTTTTGGTGCCGTGTCTCTCGGCGCTTCTCCAGGCATGTTGTTGTTTTCGCTGTTGTTGTTGTGGGTATTTGTGTTTGAGGGTCTCTCTCCCTCCCCAACACCCTACTCTGCCTTTTGTACAGCCATCTCGGCCGAGCTACTGGTTTCCCTTCGCCTCTCTCCTCCCCCTGTTTTGGGGTAAAGCGTATTTTGTCGTCCCTTACAGTGTTGTACTTCGTTTCTCCCGCCGGACGCCGTCCTCCGAAAAATCTCCCCTCACCGAAAATTCTCAGAATGTTTTGCCCGACGAGTCTCTCGCGCCGCCCCTGCTCGATGCCGGCAAGAGGCTGCTTAAGTTCTTGCAGCAACGGTTCGGGCTGTTTCTTTCCGGCAGCCATGCCAGCGATGGTGACGACAACGGCATCAGGGGGAGGAGCGGAGGAGCATCAGCAGCAGCATCTATGTTATCGCATTCACTCAGCGGCGGTGAGGATGGACGGAGTTCGTTCGCGGATCCAGCGGCGTTCTCGGAAGGGGCCATGGAGGCCATGAATGCTGGGGACAGCAACCAGGCCGGGGGCGTGGACGGGCTGAGCTTGATGCAGCTGGAGCTTAGCGAAGAAGACCAGCCGGCGGTGGTGCCATATGACGAGGTTCGTGCTGTTGTTGTGGAGGGGTAGAAGGAGGAATTCGAAAGGTATCATCTCAAGCGCTCCACTGGATCTATCCTAATCTGTGCCATGAAATAGTTAGTTTCACGAAAACGTCCAAGATTTCCGTTTTCATCTATCTTTGTCTCTCTCATCCTCTCTCTCTATCGTGGAAACGAGCCCGGGCTGCATTTTGTAGGCGGAGGCAACTTAGCGAGAGGTTGCGTCTCACTCCGTTGCTCTTAACCCTCGATGACAATAGCTCTGATGCATTTTCCTGCATGTGTAGCCTATTTCTTGGCATGACATTTTTGCATATGTGTCTACACGTGTAGTGTGTATCTCGTCCCAAGTGCCACCGTCGTAGCTTCGCTGAGCCGCTTGACCGCACGGACAACCGGTTCGTATGAGTGTAAACGACACGCAGGTTCTTCGACACTCGAACCTAGCGCTAACGTCCACGAGTCGACAACAACAACCACAATCACCTCTGGAAGGAAGTCTACACCCCATCCCGTTCATGGGCATAGCATTGTTTTTGTAGACATATGTATACTTCATGAGGTGGTCTTGACGGGATCGCTTCATTGGTCACGACGCTTTGTTCCATGGGGGGCTAGGTGATGAGGGCACTAGGTGGCGACGTGTTGGGCCTAAACCAGAATCAACATCAGCATCAGCATCAGCCGGAGGAGATGGAACAGCAACAGCAGCAGCAGCAGCAGCAGCAGCAGCAGCCGCAGCCGCAGCAGCACGCTCCGAAGTCCGTGACACCAACCTCCCATCCCGTACGCGACCACCGAGAACCGGTGACGGCTGCTCCAGCAGGCGGGGGGGAGGGGAAAGACAACGGTGGGGTTGGGGTAGAGGGGGACCGAGAGGGCGGTGGTGGGCACAAACTGTCCTCGGATGCTGAACCTGTCAGCGCTGTTCTGTCGACCCCTTCGGTGGAGCACTCCCAACGTTGGTGCGAAATCGATCGCCTTCTTGAGGCTGCCTCGCCAGCAAAAAAAGTGCCGAAATCACCCTCGATAGTAACCCATGGTTCCGCCGCCACGGCCGCCGCTGCCCAACACTACGGGAAGCGGCGAGAAATGGCATCCATGGCTCCCCCTGCTGCTGCTGCTGCTGCTGCTGCTGCTGCTGCTGTCACAGCTACCGCTGCTGCTAACGTCGTAGTTCCGACTACGCAAGCAGCAGCACCAGCAGCACCGGCCATGGCAGTGCCAGGTACCCCATCCGCCGAGGCTGCTGCTGCCGCAAGGCGCTACCCACTTCTCTTTGAGGCCACCCGGGCAAACGAGGACGTAATGATGGCGGCGGCACGCCTGGTGGATCCGGAAGAGAGGAAATACTTTAGCGGCGGCAGCGGTCGCGGTACGGCGGAGGCAGCGGTAGTACGGGAGGCGGTGACGTTTTTGGAGGAGGTCGGGGCCAGCGAGGACGGGGCAGCGGCGGTCTGGCAGGTTCGAGCGCCCGCAGCGGCAGGGGGGGTAAGGCGTAGATGACGAGGGAGAACCACCCCCCCATTTCCATTTCTAAGACGTTGTGGGTGTGCTCCAGCAAGAATTCGCCTTTGGACGGGTAGGAGAGCCTTCCGTCGCTCTCACTCACCCCGACCATATCGGTTCGTGTGTTGTCTGTGTACGCATTTTGCTTGGTGCTTCACTCAGTCAATATCCGTGCTTCTGGCACTCTGCGTTGTGCTGTGGTCGAAGATCTGTGCTCTTCAGCTGTTCACCTTTGGTAATATCTCACGGACACTGTTGTGAGGAGACTGTCTTTCCACGGAAGCGTGGAATAACCCATGGCATATGCGTCGTCCTCGGCAGCACGAGCCATATGGTTGAGCATGAGGGACCCACAGTAGTCCCTTGCAGCAGGGGTCTAGTCTGCAGCTTCTTTGCCTTATTCTTCGTGAATTCCTCTGAGCGCTTCGTTGAGAAAGGTCACGGGCAGGGAGCCCCGAAGTACTGAATCGCGTGAATCGCGTGTGTACGAAAGCGTTCGGGAGGCTCGTTTCTCTCTCGTTGGACTGCGATATTCTGCTGAAGCCCCAACGATTGCCGGGTCTCGTTCGAGAATCGCTCTCTCTTTCTCTCTCTCTCTCTCTCTCTCTCTCTCTCTCTCTCTCTCTCTCTCTCTCTCTCTCTCTCTCTCTCTCTCTCTCTCTCTCTCTCTCTCTCTCTCTCACTGACTTGACTGTCTGACCCTTGCTGCGTTCCTTCACTCTCCCTCCCCTACTGGCTGACTCACTCAGCCCTCTACCCGTTCACCCATTGATTCAATCACGCACGATCACGCACTCACTCACTCACTCACTCACTCTGCCCCCTTCGCGGCCTGAAAGACTCATTCCGACTCTATCATTCTGACCTCCTCAAACTCGACGCACCACCGACGGAATCACATGATTGAAGTCATTCGGTTTATTTTCGAGCCCACCTTTCAGTGCCAACGACCCCCACAAGCAACAGGGTGACGAGGGGATTCTTGTCCCATGAATCAAGGTCGAATGGTGTTTTTGGCTCTGGTTGTGAACGCACATCCGCGAACTATTCCCCGGAGTTGTGCATATGTGTGTCTCTCACGCCAAAAAGAACGATTGTCCACCCACATTCGCGCTTTCGTTGTGGCCGGCGTTGCATGACTTGTTGCTCGTGTCCTGCGTATATGCCTGTTTTCATGGGAGAGGTGGGAATCGGTCCCTCGATGCCCCTCCCCTGTGCACAGCGGCACCACCGCTAGCCGTAACCTCCGCAGAGCTCTCACGAAGGCTGACTGAGCGCCCATCAAGAGCAGAAAATGATACGTTCACGCCGCTTGTGTCGCCCGAATTCCCCCTCCTTTGCTTTGCACCTGTTGTGCTAGCCCTATTTAGCAGCCTTTTGGGAACGTCTGTCGCCCCGCCTAGCACGACCGCCGCCACTGTTGGTAAGCTCTTCCTCTCCCGCACAGTTTTGGTCGTCCTTGTCGTTGTTGCTGTGACTGTGTTTGGAGGTTTCCCCGAACTCCTCCTCAACATCGTCGTCAGCGACTTCGTGACCAGCAACCCCACTCCTGGCGAGCCAAGGAAGCGGGGGGAACTGGGACCGGCGAGAAGCACACAGACCGTTATCGATGTTGTTTTTGCTCTCTAGGACTCCCCCGCCGACGGCGGTTCTCACCGCATTGCCAGAAAATGCCGTGTTGTCATCGTCGCGCTTGTTTCCCCGTCGTGTCTTCTGGTGGGGTTCTTTCCCTCCCTTGCCCCCGTTCACGCCGTTGGTGCCTACCCTGCGGCGGTTGATGCTAGCCCCCGCGGCTGCAGTGAGCGGGGCGTCGGAAGGTAGGCTTGTATGCATATGCATGGGCCATTCAAAATTGGTTTTCGTCGTCGCAAGGATCAGCCAGTTGTACTAGTAGACGCTTTCGTGGTATTTCCCTTTGCGCTAAAGTTCATGTTGTCGACGACCTGATGTGAGGTTTACACTTGTGTAGAAGTATGATCTAACCGAAACACCAACTGGTACCGTAAGTATATTAACCACCTTTTGGGTTGGCAAGAAGGGATGGAGGGCAGACTTCCCCCCAGAGAGGGAAAACTGATTCCCAAATGAAGAATTGTTGGAGTCTTCAGAGTTTGCCAACGACAAATGTCTCTGCGAATCCGCGTGCATCCGCCACTGCAGAGAGCCTGCTGCTTCTGCCAAAAAACGGTTTCCACAGGGTGCCACACGATAGCTTTCTACGCTATCACTGAGAGTCTTGTCATTCCATGCAGCAATCATCCTTCCTTCGGAGCACTAATGAAGGACAGACATTGTCACCCGAGCTTCTATGAGAGTGCACGGCGTGCCTCCCGCCACACTTCCGGCTGAAACCTCGGTCACTCATAGCACGAAGCTTTATCGAAAGAATCGCGAGTGGACCAGTTACACAAAACATGGGGGAGAATTCACTCCCTTCTTCACAGAAATTCTACTATTAAGCATCCGCGGTTCAACTGTACGCATGTACTCCCCCTGCCCGAGATATTTCATTGATTGTTCACAAACAATCAATAATTCAACAATTGTTTGTTCCCAAACCAACAATTTTTACCTTCGAACAATGAGCCCCACAGCCGCTTCTTCACATGCTCAAGACCACCGCCGGAGGTTCGCCGCTCGACTCCAACGCTACTCACTCCTCCTGTTGCTCCTACTGCCTGGCTGAACGCCTCCTCCTCACCGTCAGCTGCTGAAAATGTCGTGTCGTCGTCTCCTTCTCTGCCCGCACGATGACCCCTAGACGCATGGCGAACTGCTGTGCTCCTATGCTCGAACGGAGTCACATATTCTACCTCTGTCTTTGCGTTCTTCCCACGGGTGGGCCCTGCGGCGGAGGAACTGAACGTTCGTTGCTGACCACGGGATATGTCCGGCCATTCCCAGGCAGGCGAAGAGGATGGTTGTGGGGACGATGATGTTCCATTCACACTCCCACCCCACTTGGCGCTCATGGTACCGTCTCTGTTGCTGGTGCTGCTGCTGTGTTGCAGCCCTGCCGACTCGTCAACGTCCTCCGAGAACAGGGAGAGGAGGCCAGTTGGCAGCGTCTGCGGTGGTGCGGGCAGCTGGTTTTGGACGAAAGGTGAAGAGGAATATGCGAAAGCCTTACCAATGTGACTGTCTGCAGTGTCTGCCCCGCATTGGTCGCGTCCGAGGTGCTTCCCCTGGGATGACGGCACGGATGCCTCTGGTTGAGGATGATCGCGGCCATCTGACACCGATGGTGCTGGTGACTGTGGTACTGCTGTATGCCCATCATGGCCGTTGCCATCAATGTTGTTGGTGGGTGTCAGCCTCGCCCGCAGTCTTTCGTTGATCTGTCATTTTCACACGGACAATCGCGTCAAGAAGGAACAAATTTACCCTCAATCGGGACGATGATAGAGCGGGACAACCTAATCGAGAGACCAGGGGGCCAATGAAGCAAAATATGATGACAACTTCTGTCCCGAGACATTGCGTACATATTCACTGCTGAAAACAAACACTCTCTCGACAACTGGGAAAGCGCTAGAGTTTCCCGCAGGCCTTCCCTGTCCAATCAGATGAGAGTTAAAAGCAAATGAAGCAAATTTTCAGACCTTGATTATTCAGAAAACTTCGTGCTCCGCGGGCGGGATGGCCTCTAGACTATTTGTCCGGTCGCTGCACAGCCCAAACACCTACAAGCACACACTGAGTGGTTTCATGAGTGTTCACTCAAAGTAGGCATGCTTCCCAACCGCTCGGATGTGTCCAGCAAAGCCCCTAGACTACTTTATTGATGTAGAGAGTCCATACTTATTACATGCCAAGCGAGTTACTGATCAACCAGTTTTCTGGGTGGGCAACTCGTGCTTCTCCGTGTTCCAAGCGTCCAAGCTATTTGCTACTTGACGCTCCTGTACATGCGCCAAAACCAATTGACCGTCGCAAACAACCATTAGGGCCTGCCTTCTCGCTCCGTCGTGGCGCCGCAACATGGTTTGTCGCGAGTGCGGAGAGCTCTGCAGAGTACCCCTCAGGTCCAGAC